CTTCTGTCTGGTTTTGTTACCGCCCGAGCACACAGAGCTCCACAGAGACCGAGGACACATGCTGGATAAAAAAAAGTTGATAGCCTACTTGTCTTGTAATTTCAGGCCTGTCCTGCGTTGAAGGGAGGTTTCTAGGGATTGATTTGTTCTGAGAAGCCTGGAGTTAGTCGACTGCTGCTGGAAAGGAAAGCTGTCTTTTTCTCAGTGGATCAGGGGGGCCGGTTAGATGAGGAGATGGTGTCATGCTGGGGCGGGTGTGGAGTGTTGTGATTTCCTGTTTTTGCAAGATGAGGAAGCTGATATGTTCGGTGTTATGCTCTGCAGCTCTGGAATGGGACTGTTTACAAAAAAATACCTCCAACACAGTCCAAGAACATTTGGGCATGAAGATTTTTGTTGGGAAAAAAATCTTTTTAGTTATTAATAACCAAAAAAAAAGGCCTTAGAATATCTGCAGTGTTGAACTCTCTGTGTGGGTTGATGCTTTTGGGAAACTGGGTCCTCTTCAGTAACAGTCTGTGCTCTGCCTGAGGACGTGGGCTTTAAAATGTAGGCTGTTGTGTTGCAGTTTCTCTATTTAGGCCTCATGTCAGTTAGATATGTTGAATGTGTTGATGTCAGGCTTTTTAACTTGACCAATGAGCTGCAGGTGCATCCACGTAAACACACCTGGAACTTTTATGCACCTTCTTTGAAAAAAAAGAGAGTTTCAGCATCGCAAAAATAAAACATTTTTAGTCAGCAGAGGATCGTGTTTGTCCTCAAACTGTTCAGAAGTATTAACTTAAATCAAGAATCTAGTTACACAAACTGTGTTAAGTTCCTGCTATGTGATCTTTGCAGAAACCAAAAAAGTGGATGTTAGAAGGCAGAGATCTATCATAAAAAACATACTAAATTACAATCTTTGCATGTTCCACGGGATGATAATAGTAGTCGCTGTATGTTTTGCAAAATAAATCCCTTACATAGCTCTCTGGTCCTGCATTGGAATGTGAGCCCCACCTTGGCTGCAGGGAGTTGGCTGCAGAATCAGGAGGAGGACTGATACTATTGTTGGAGCATCGCCGTGAAACTCGAGTCCACACCTAACAGGCGTTTAAGGCCACGCCACTGATTTACTATTTTAGACACTTGAGAAAGAGCCTTCTCAAAAATCTGAAAACCCAAAAATGAAGACAGAGTTGTAGGGTTGTCAAAATGTTTGACACTGATGTCTCAGATGTCACCTTTCCTGGTCACGGCTGACGTGGTGCATGTGTAACGGTCTGTTCTCTTTTTGTATATGCGCTCGCCTTGCGGGGTAATGTGTCCCTTGAGTGTAACCATACCTGCCAGAAAGCGGTTTGTTGCTGTAATCCTGCTTGTGTTTAAGTTGAATAACGGCCTGCGTCCACAGATGGCGTTTTTGTGCCCTCATCATCAGCTGCTTTTTGTCGCTCTCAGTTGCAAGAATTTAAACTTTTAGAACATCGCCTCGCTCGTCAATGTCACTTCTCCCTCACCTACAAATCATAATCAAGAAGGGGCGGGGCTTCTTATATCAGCTTTGTCAACAACAATGGCGGAGGAGACGCTCGCCTGACTCGTCTTTTCAAAGGAAAAGTTTCCAGGTGTAGATCTGCTGATGACTCCTTTACATCGTCTTCATGATTTCTTGGTGATATTTCCTTGAATGAAAGCAAATATTAAACACACAGAGCGATCTAAAACACACCTTACATACATTAACAAGAAGCAGAAGCTATCTTTCGTAACCTAGCAACAGAGCGCTGGTGAGAAGCGCTCTGAAACGGAGGTCGTGGGCGCTGCCATCGCAAAAAGGCACCGTCTGTTTGTACACACACAGGCCCCTAAAGATAGACCGTGGTCGGAGAAGTTTTACTCGAGTACTTGTACCCATCCCGAGTATCGAAACGGGTATCAATTCATAGCTTTCATGTGACATCACACACTTGTGGAACCGCCCACCTGGCGGGCAGCACATCTTCCTAATGCTGCACGCCACGGAGAAGTTATCGGTCTCAGTTGCCACCTCGGTGTTTTGACCAGTTTTATTTTTTAAACCTAAGACGGTTGTTATTCAATGTGATGCACAGGCTGATGAAGAGAAAAGCCCGGGTTGTAATTCTGCAGATTTAAATCAACAAGGAAGAAAAACCCGGAGAGGAGCAGAGTCAGAGCGGATCATTTATTGACAGGATTCGATGCTTTGTGCAAAATCCAGAAACCTTTTACCTCGTCTAGTGGGAGTGTCACCCACCCGTTCCTCAATCTTTGTTAGTCTGTGAATTAAATCTGGCTGAGTTAATGAAAACAACACGCCCACGTCGGCTTGTGTGGCATATTTCCACTGTTGTCTATTTACGTGTGAGACGTAATGTTTGTTGTTCCTGTGGAGCTATAAAAAGCAGCAGCATTCCTCTCTCTCTGAGCGCTCCTGGTTCCACCTGCCTGTGATCTGTGATTCTCTCTGGAACGAGTCTGTCTGCTGATTGTTTTCTCTTGCATTCTTCTTGGGTGTTGCTGCATATTTCAGAGCTGAACTTGAGGTCAGCAGGATGATGATGATTATTATTACATAACCACCTTGTGTTTTCTTTCCTGCAGCCTACTATTATGCCTGTGGTTTGTGCTAGAGCAGGGAACTTTCCCATGCAGAAACTGGGAAAAAGGATACTGTGTTTACTTCCCTGTTGGGTTATTTACCTTTTGTTAAGTGTCAGTCCTGTTCTGTGTTCACCACTGGATGGATTGTTTTCTGAGACTAAAGTGCAATCAGATATTTAGTGTTTTACTGCCATTGGTTGTTTTTCTTTCTACCAATTTAAATGTTTTAATCACGCTAGCAAACCGGCTCTTCCATTGATATTATTAAAGGAAGAATGATCGACATGTTCCACATAAATAAATCCTAAAGTCTGTCCTGTGTAAATGTGTCTCTGAGTCCTGACTGTCTACAATGAGGGAGAAGCTCGAGTCCCGCTGGCTGTGTTGTTGTCAGAGCCGTGTTTACATGGACGGGACGGCCGGCTCCTCCCCTTGTGTATAAAAGCTGTTTTAGTCAAGAACTAGAGAGAAGAAGAAGAACATACTCACTGATTATTTGGATGTTAGTAAGAGTTTTTAGATCACGCTCATTCTGTGTCAGTTTACATGAAATGTGAAGCTACGAGCTAACTAAAGAGCGCTAACATTAGCATGCTAATACAACAATGTGAAGCTACGAGCTAACTAAAGAGCGCTAACATTAGCATGCTAACACAACCATGCAGGACACAGGTGATTGCAGCTCGAGTCGAGGGCAATTTTGAACACTGCTTGTGCTGAACTCCTTCGTGCGGTCTCGAGTGGGGGGGGGTGGAGGTGTGTTGTCACTGGAGGAGAGCGGAGGCTTCAGGATGGAGGAGGCGTGGCCAAACAGGAAGTTTGTTTTGGTTTCATGCTGGTGCTCAAGGGCGCCACCTACTGGATCAAAAAGTTGCACGTTCCTCCTTTAAGTAAACAAAAGGGATCGCTAAATGCTAAATCTGTTAGCCTGTTTGTGCCAGTTTTCATTATGTGTTAGTGTCAAGCTAACAAACTAAGATGTGCATCCTGGTCCATCTGTGAGAAAAGAAAAGGAGTCACCTATAAATATGTTTTTGTTTTCTTACTATGCAATACCTTTAGTTTTAGAGTTTGCTTTGTGTCTCTCAGCCTCATATTGTTGGTATGAACTATAGAGAGAAGGACTGTGGTGGAGGTAAAAACAGCCCAGCAGAACAGGAAATGAAAGCTAAAGCAGGTCTCAGTTTCAGGCTCAGTTTCGATCTTTCTCTCTGCGCTGATGACTTCCCCTTGGCAGGACCAAGTGTCAGAAACACATGTTTACTGGGGGGATTTTTTTCACAGTCATATTGTGTTTTTAAAACCGGACACAAAACACCACGGGAGACTTTCCCATGAGTCACGGTGTGCTGGCCTCGTCGGTGCTGTTACACCCACTGGTGCACAGCGTTTCTAAGAACTGCTGCTCTGTTCCTGCGCAGTGGAAAAACTAACAGTTAGGTCCGTGTTTTCAGTCAGAGTCTGTTATATATATATATATGTATATATATATATATGTATATGTATATATATATATATATATATATATATATATATATATGTATGTGTGTAGGCTGCTTACTGTTAAAGGAGAAGTCAGCATTGTTATACTTCATTGTTCATGCTCACTGGTTTGAAAACGAGAGGCCTCCCTGAGGTGTTGTGGGACGTCTGGCCACACACATACATTGTGGTGTTAGTGGGACACGCACAGACGGCAGATTCGTGCGATTCACAACAACAATACAGTCATTTACTTCATTTGATGACCCCATTTAAACGCTGAAGTACATCATGTTTCAGTTTGTTGCTATGTGGAGGAGATTAGTCAGAAACACTTTCAAGAACACCTCTTGAGTGTTTGAGTAATCTGAAATAAATAAGTGAAAACTTTTCTATGAATCACAGCCGGTATTGAGTTTTATTTGATTTATTTTTAGGTTTATTTTTGGTCTTTTTACACCTTTATTTTTTTATAGACAGGACAGTGAATAGAGTCAGAAATCAGGCTGAGAGCGAGTGGGGAGTGACATGCGCGTTAGGAGCCACAGGTCGGATTTGAACCTGGTCCGCCCGCCTGGAGGAGCAAAGATGGGACGCGCACTAACCACTACGCTACCGGCGCCCCTGCATTGAGTTTTATATTGTATCAATTTTAGGGTGTCAGCATGAACTAGTTAATTGCGATTAACAAAGGTCTGATTAATTTCATGCTATTTTGTCCCTTTAGGCGCACCGTAGATAATTTGGCAGGTTATGAAAAAGACATTAAGATGAATTATTCTTAATGTCTTGAACCTGTGCTGCTGGGACGATGAAATGAGACCTAAAAGCAGCTATTTGTTAAATAACTGATTGTTGAATTTAACAGCGTGTCTGTTTATCTCACCTGTTGGATTATTGTGTTGCAGGTGGTACAGGCTCAACTCTAAGACGGGGAAGAAGGAGAAGGAACGAGGAGAAATTCAGGTCACCGTCCAGTTCACCCGAAACAACCTGACAGCCAGCATGTACGACCTCGTCATGAAGGACAAGAGCGCCTCCACCTTCGGCAAGCTAAAGGAGCGCATGAGGGGGAAGAGGAGATCCAGCGACGACGACTCCTCCTCAGCCGTCTTACCAGCGGTTACGGGTCTCTTCAAAAGATGAGACAACGGCTGCCGAGCGACGGAGGCGGGGAGGAGGACTACGAGGACGACGAGGGCGGCGAGGCCCGGCGGAGCAAGATGAGGACCTTCTTCTTAAGAGGGAAGCTGAGGAAATCATCAGACACTCGCTCCAGCACATCGCTGGGCTCAGAGAGCAGTGAGTCGTCGTCACGAGGGGGGAGTCTCAGCCCAACGGCCGGGATCAGTGTGGTGGTCTCCGACCTCTCCAACTCGCCAAGTAACAGCAGCAACCTGACGGTCGACAACAGCCCAGGTGAGCAGGACCAGAAGATAGAGCGTGTTGTTAATATTATCTCTAAATCCAATTCATCCAATCCTTCCTTTATAGTTGACAACTGCAGATTCAGATTTCCTAATTCTTTGACAAGATAAGATCAAACGTAGTCTATCAAATGGGTTAGGGTCAGTGTTTAAAGGTCACATCTCCTCCTCCTCCTCTTCAGTGTAAATAAGTCTCAGAGCTCTCTCAACATGTGTGTGAGTTTCTTGTTCTAAATCCACTCTGATCCTGTATTTGATCATGTCTATAAACCCTCTATTTCAGCCCTGCTCAGAACAGGCTGTTTCTGTGTCTGTACCTTTAAATATGTAAATGAGCTGTGTCTGACCACGCCCCCTCTCTGGAAGGGCTTTGGGTGTACTCGGTGCTTTCTCGCTCCATGTCCTATTGTTTACGGTGAGAAGGCAGACTCAGAGGGAGTGTCACCCACCTGGGGGAGGGGCTACTGCCCTTTGTGATGTCATGAAGGAAAATCTCCAAACGGCCTGTTTGAGCACACATTTTCTGAAGTGGAGCAGGAAGAAGACGGAGAGGATGGACTTTTCTCATGATTGGGGGTTTGTAGACGACTAGAGACACATATTAGAGTTAGAGGAACATGGGAAGAGGATTTTATATATGTGACCTTTAAGCAGTCGTCTAAAACCAACAAATCTTCCAATGATATGTAGAAAGAAATGCGTCATGTCCTCTAATATCAAAATCTGAAACCAGAGCATGTTTGACTGAAAAAAACACAAAAACAAATGATGAATCTAACATCAAACTAGATGCAGATTATTTTTCTAATATTTATTTTTCTCATCTTTTCCGCTCTGAGCTTATCCAAACGTCTGCAATGCTTCTCTTTTGCAGATCTATCAGGACGGTTTCAGTACCAGAGTCATTTATGTATAAACATGCAAATCTTCTCTAAAGAAAACCACTTCCTTTAAATTCTTTGCTGCCATCAGCTGGCTCATTCACTGACTCACTCTTTGAGAGCTGCCCGAGAAGTCAGAGAGGTTTTTTTTATTTCTGCTCTCGTTTCTGACGAATTCAAAAGTTAAAATAAACCCAAATGAATGTTTGACTGAAACTGCAATGATGGAGCTTGTATGTGTAAAACAGGAGCATGCCACAAAAACATGTTTATTGTTCTTTTAATTAGATCAGATGTAGGTAAAGAGGCGCTACAGTTTGTTTTACTCATTTCTGTGTTTGCTGGAGGATCACGTCAAAGGGTTAGATAACAGATATAATACTGACACTTGGGATAAACATGTTTCCCCCCTGGGGGCTCAGAGTTAGAAGAAGAGTGAAAACACTTTAACATCCTGTGGATACATGTAGAGGCCACTTCCGGGCTTCTGAGAGTCTACTAGTGTTGTAGTCAAGACCACACTGACCGAGACCAAGACTTACCTGAGACATATACTGTATACTATACATCGAGAGCAAGTCAAGACCAAGGCAGGACGCAGTGTTAATCTTCACACCATGACAGTCATAGTCATAGTCTCCTGATGAAAATGTCCTTTATATTTAGTCACATATTAGTCATTTGTTATTGATTTAATTTAGTCAATTAGTCACTGACTAAAATTGCACATCGTTTTAGTTGACGAAAATAGAAAATATTTTAGTCAACAAAATCAGATGCAAGCTTTTATTTTTATTATCAGAAGCTCCAAGGGGCGGGGCTTCACGGACCTCCAGGCAAGAGGCTCCAGGGGCGGGGCTTCACAGACCTGCAGACAAGAGGCTCCAGGGGGCGGGGCTTCACAGACCTGCAGACAAGAGGCTCCAGGGGGCGGGGCTTCACAGACTGCAGGCTCCAGGCTCCAGGCTGCACATTGTTGCACTCACCACACACACAGACCTTTGATGAAGTCTGCTATGGTTTACAATGATTTTAGAACAGCTGAGGGGGTACGTGATAATCGTCAATTAGATGAAGTAATATTATTTATCAAATCGTCAAATAGCGGAGTTTCTTCTTGTCATCGTCATAGTTGATTAATTTAAAAACACCTTCGTCAACGAATATTTTCGTCATTTATTTTGTTGACGATATTAACACTGGCAGGACGAGACCGAGATCATAAATATCTCAAAAAACTCCTCTTCTTGTGTGCAGGGGTCGTGTCACTCACTTAGACGTAAGGTTGCGGTTGTAAAGATTAAAAAGTTTCATCCCCCATTAAACTGCCTGCTAATGTTTTGATCCTCTGCATTCATCGTTCTTTTTGTCTCTTCCTCTCGACTTCTTTTCATTGAACTCGTTGTTGTTGTTGTTGTTGTTGTTGTTGTTGCAGAGCACACAGCTAACACGTCGCCCAGGTCGTCCTCTCTCCATGTGAGTGAGTTTGGTGATGAGGCCGGCGAGATCACCATCGCAGTGCCTCAACAAACTGTGTGCGTTAACGGAAGCCATGCTTACGATGTCCAGCCCCTGGACCCAGGCTCAGGAAAACCTGTGGATTCTCTAGGCCTGGGACGACTGTTGCAGAAGTCTTTGCCCGTGTCCGTGTCTTTGCAGAACCTCAGCCCACACACGGTAACCACCCCAACCCACCCAAAAGCCCCGTGGGGGACGGGCGCCGCTGGTCCTTCGACAAGCCCGACGAGGAGGAGAAGGCGGCCATAGCGGCGGCGCTGGAGAAAAGCGGCCCCATGCTGGCTGACGAAGACGAGCGGTCGGGACAGGCTGCGTCCTCCTCCTCCTCCTCGACGGCGGAGCTGGAGAGCCAGGGGAAAAAGCAGAGGAGGAACTTGTTCTCCCACGGGAGGAGCGAGTCTGCAGGGAAAGGGCAGAGTCAGTCCAAGGATGAGTCTGAACAAGCCTCCGCCGCCACCAGGGAGAAAAACGGGGGATGGTTCGGATCAAAGGACTCGAACAGCAAACCCAGGTGAGACACAGACAGAGATATCACAGAGAGGACTAACCACACACCCACACGATCATCTGTTACAACATCCAGCAGGTGGTGAATTATTATGAATATGAATCAGATCATGAAGGTCAGGAGCCTGCTGAGAGTTTGTACCTGTGCTGTTCAGAATCCATTCACCTTAAGTCCAAGACTCAGGTGTATTATTATATCAGGTAAAAATACGAGTTTGATAGAATATATTCAACGCAGGCGATTCTAGCTGCAGTGTTCAAACAGAAAGATTAAAGTGAATCAAAATTAAGTGCTCCAAAAACTCAAAATATTACACAGATTTGCCTCCTAAAATTCTAATTAATTCTGATAAAATGAAAGCAGTTTCAAGCAGTGTAGAATTATTTTTAAAATCAAATCGTTGCTTAATAAAATTTAGACGAAAAAGTTGAGGAAATCAGCTCGTTTTATTTCTATCTAAGGGTTAAATGAAGAGGAAGATAACCTCATCACGGCTGTGTCTTCAGTACAGAGCTAGAGTCAGCAGAGGCTTAGCTTAGCTTAGCATAGCATAAATACTAGAGGCAGGGGAAACAGCTAACATAGTGCTGTAAATGCATTTCAACATCCTGTTATCTCACAAATGAGCATTTATTTAGCATGTTTTCTTTGTTTTTATTGCACAGGTAGAAAATAATATGATCCTGAGGTTAATTCAAGTATTACACAGGTAGAAAAAACTACATTTACTGGCTAAAAAAATCAGTGTTGCTTATACAAAACTATTAAATTATATTGTATAGGTAAAACAATAATGTGTTACACAGGTAGATAAATATGAAATGCACAGGTTAAAAACACATGAAATGCAAAGATAGAAAAATATATATTTTACAGGTTAAAATGTTTGGAATTTCAAGTTGGAGAATTGTATAATGTACAGGTAAATACATGCATGACACTGAGAAAAATATGTAACGTTCAGGTCAAAATAAATGTAGTGCACTGGTAGAAACCTTAACATTTCACAGATATAAACATGTTTATTATACAGAGAAATATAGGTGCTGCACAGGTAAGAAAAATAAAGTTCTACAGGTCAAAAAAGTATAAAATATTAGCACAAATTCCCCCCCCCATCTCTGTCTGTGCACAGAAAAATAATCTGTTAAAGTGACACCTGTTTGTCCTGTTTCCAGACGTTATGCTAAGCTAATTACCTGACGTAAAGGTGCTAACCATCTTCTAACTCCTAAAAAGAGAAGAACTGTGAGGATATTAATTCAAAGGGTTGTAAAGACTGAAGGGTCTGATTAATGTCGACCTCCTCACCTGTTGTGAGAGTAGAGTGTGCACGTCTACATGAAGCTTAAAACATAGTGAACCAGCAGAGGGTCTAAATGTGTATTCAGAGGAGCAGCATTATGTTGAACAGTATTGTTTACTTTTCCACGTCCTGTGTACCAGCATGCCTCCACAGCTCAGTCTCTGGTTACAGCACAGAGCTGCAATGCAGATGGAGGGAGCTGCTCTTTTTTTTTCAAATGAGCTCTGTGAAGCTGAAGCTTTGTGTGCACACATAACATGGTTCAGTAATCACTTCGATTTCATCGGTAGGATGATAATGAGAGCAAGAACAATCGTGTTTTTTTGTGTTTTATGTGTGTGTGCATCAGAGTGTGGGTCTTTTGTTTGTGTGTGGGCGGGAAGAACACCACATTTCATTTTTATTTCCACTTATAGCACATGCACGATCTTAAGTGGGTAATTTATTTATCTGGAGGTGTCACCTGCTGCTCTCTTCAACCGCTCCCTGATGCATTCCTGTGTTTGTTTCTGAGTGATAACCTTTAATCCAGCCCTTAAAGAACCAACAACCAGGCAATTTAATTAGATTATTTACCAACCTAATCGACCTAGACTCCAACTAAGATCGGACAGTATTGTTATATTTCCTTACAATGAACGTAAACAAAATATCGGCCTGATGAGCACATGCTGATCGAAGTCAGCGAGGTCAGCGATTCTGAGCTCGTAGTACACTCGACGCCTCGCTGCCAGCTCTGTAACTAAACATTTTCACAACTGACACGTCCACATGTGTTTGGCTCCTCGGGGGAGAAGAGCCAAGTTGGCTCCTGAAGCACGACGTCATCGCTACAGCTCGCTGCATCAACCTTTCTCGCATAATACATCCGGGGCCAAAGAAACCCAACACAAGAGTTACAGAGAAGGACGTTCTGGTAAAGTTAGAGAAAATTAGTCTTTAATACCTTAATTTTTTATATAAGACAGTGGAGAGAGTCAGAATCTGTAGAGAGGGGGAGGGGGGAAGACATGCAGGAAAAGAGCCACAGGTTGGATTCTAACCCGGGCTGCCCGCTCTCGAGGACTCTAACCTCTGTACAAAACTCAAACTTGTACTAAATAGGCGTAATAAAAACTTCAAGGTCACATATTCTGTAAAATCCTCTTCCTCATGTTCTCTATCTCTAACATGTGTCTCTAGTCTGTCCACAAACCCCCCAATGATGAGAAAAGTCCATCCTCTCCGTCTTCTGCCTGTTCCACTTTTCAGAAAATGTGTGCTCAAACAGGCCGTTTGGAGATTTTCCCTTCATGACATCACAAAGGGCAGTAGCCCCTCCCCCAGGTGGGTGACACTCCCACAGCTAGGTGTTTGTTCTGCCCTCTGAGTCTGCCTTCGCACTGTAAACAATAGGACATGGAGCGAGAAAGCACCGAGTACACCCAAGCCCTTCCAGAGAGGGGGCGTGGTCAGACACAGCTCATTTACATATTTAAAAGTACAGACACAGAAACAGCCTGTTCTGAGCAGGGCTGAAATAGAGGGGCTTATAGACATGATCAAATACAGGATCAGAGTGGATTTAGAACAAGAAACTTCACACACATGTTTTGAGGAGCTCTGAGACTTATTTACACTGAAGAAGAGGAGGAGGATATGTGACCTTTAAGTAAAACTAAGAAATGAAATAATAATAAAACTTATGAAAGGGACTTAAATGAATGCTTATTTTGCAGCCTGTTTTCTGGATGTGAGAACTGGTACTTCTTTTCTATATCAAAGGTTATAAAAAATATCTTTTTAAGTTGCTGCACTGCCCCCCAGTGGTCTAAAAAATATTAATGACTGCAGATTTAAAGGTGCTTTCAGATAATGTAGCATAAATACTGTCCACTAGTAAATTAAAATAATTAGAAGAAAAGAGCAGCGACTTGAAAATGAATCGATTCAAAATGTTTAATTTAATTGTGATTTTGGGCAGAAAACCTGCTGCAGGCCTGCAGTGCAGCTGTGTGAACAATCCTCACTAATCACGAGGACTGTGTGTCGTTCCTTTCACAGCCTGGTGGTGTCACCTACACTAGAGCCCAGCACTGACCCCCACCCACCACCCCTCCCGACTAGACCCCACCCCCCGGGTCCCCCCTTTGATCCCACCTCTCTGGTTTCTCCGCTGCATCACACTAACCCCTTCTCTCACTCACAGTCCACCTCACCTCCCATGTCCCCCTGCAACCCTTTCCTTTCTCTGGTCCAGCACAACCCTTTCTATGAAGACATTCTAACCGCTAAGCCCCTAAAACCTTCGCTGCCTCCTCTGCCCTATCTTTCCAGTTCCCGGCCCCCCATAAGTCAACTTTTTCCACAGGCGAATAACAACGACTTAACCACACACCACTCCATCATCGGCACAGAGCCAAAGAACAAAGTGACGGCAAAAGTTGAGAAACGACCTCTTCCTCCGGTTCCTACAGAAGGGGAGAACGCTTTAAACAAGAAGTCAGCCAACCCTTTTACGACTGCAGGAGAGCTGGAGTCAGAGTGGGACGACTCCTTTGAAGCGTTCGCAGCTGGCAGGCTGCAGCCCCCCGAGGACCCGACCACAGATTGCAACACACAGCAAAACCTTCCCAGTGACCGTCCACTGGAACGCTGCGGAAATAAAGGAGCATTGCTTCCCATAACGGATGCTGATCAAAACACTAATGTGAATGAAGCGCTGCGTCATCAACCTTGCACAGAATTTGTATTGGAGGCACATAAAGCCGTCACTAACACTAACACACATCACTTTGACACGTTTGCACAATTCCTGGAGACGATCCCGGAGCACACAAGCTTTGAGAGTGACAATCTAACTTTAAATACTCTGTCTGCATGCACCGAAACTAATCAAGCTAACAGCACTACTAACACAACTGATTTAAAAGAAACGAGCCTGCATCAACCTCTGAGTCATGCATCGTCAGTAAAGCTCGACCGCAGCTCCCCGGATCCTAGCTCATCGGGTCTCGGCAGTTCTGCAGAAGAGGATTTCCTCTCCTGCCTCTCTTCCTACTCCGACAAATTCTCCCCGTCCTCCTCCGAGGAAACTGAGGCGCAGAACTTTGAGAGGGGCATCCTCAGCTTTGAGAAATCTCCTGAGTCAGCTGCGGTGAAGGATTTAAAGACAGTAGAGTCTGAAGATGACACTGCTGACAAGTCAGTGGATCTGTCTTTAGTTGATGTTACCCAGCACACTGTTATTCAGGACGGAGATGGATGTGAAAAGGTTGGATTGGACAGAGAATTGGAACCACAGCTTCCAGTGCTAATACATCTTCATCGTGTGATCACTGCAGAAGAGACTGGAACACAAGGGGGCCAAACTGAAGCACCAAAACTGTCAATATCTGACGTTTCTTTACAGGCTGAAAGCAATTTAAACAGTTTGGACGGGACGTTGGACCCACAGTTTTCAGCGTTCACACATCAGCAGACTGTAATTCCTGCAAAAGAGACGGGAACTGAAGCTGAAGACTTTTGGCTACAGAATCTCTCAGAACTACAGCCGAAACCAAACGTCTCTTTACGACCCATCGAAGAAAACGGAGAAGACATTTTGGGGGAATTCAGCGAATCTGTATCAGTTTCAGAAGTTTTAAATGATTCACCAGATCAAGAACTCTGCTCTGCACAACCGTTGTTACGCATCATAACGTCCTCCCCTGACCCGAACTCTGCAGAGCCGCTTGTTGAGATCACTACTTCAGAAAGGCGGGATACTAGCCGACAATCCCCGATACCCTTTGGGCTTCTTGGTGGTTTCCTCAACACGAGTAGCATAGCGATAAATACGAGCCGATGCATGGACGAAACACTGTTGCAAACACCGATGTCCGATAAGAGCAACAGCAGCTTTCTGCAAAGCCTTTATGTCAGCACCGACTCGCAGGCTTACCAAAGCTGTGTGTCCGACCCGGCCTCCAAATTCTCCAGCGAGTCTGAGACAAATGAGACTCTGGACTCTGTGAACTTAACGCTTTGTGGGGATCTGAGTGAAAGTCAGGCGACTGCTGAAGACGCTCAAGACGATGCAACCAAACCCGACTCCGCCCAATGTCATCAATCCTTCCCTAGAGCTTTGGACGATACAGAAACTCTCGAGCCAAGTTTTACTACGAGCAATATTTCAGGTGCTACTCTCCAACGCTCCCACTCTGAAGGCGACTTGACTTCTGCCTTCCAAGAGCTTCTCCTGCCCTCGTTTGGGAGCGATCCCGGTGCAATACAGGGTTCCTCTTCATCAGCTCAGCCCAGCCCCCCTGACCTCCCCTCTCTCGCCGCCTTTCCTCCCTCTTTAACTCCTGATCGTAGCAGCTCCCCCGTAGTGCTCTTTCCTCCCCCTTCTCTTGCCGACGCTACGGCGAGTTTACCAACCGGCGCGACACAAGCTACAGCGCCAAAGCCGGTGCCTCTGGAGACCGATTGGCAGCGGCAGGCGGGCTATCCGGAGGAGAACAGGTGAGGTTTGCACATGCTCAGTGTGTGGTGAAAAAAAAAAGGTGGAGGGGGGGAAGCGCTTTTCCCACTTGCCAGAAATTTCTATCCTGTCGTCTCTTCAGTCTCCCTTTGACGCTCTACTTCCGCCTGCTTTTCTTCTGTGGCGCCAACTCTCGAGGGGTTCCTATTTTGTGGTGTGACCTTCTCGTGTTCACACACACACACACACACACACACACACACACACACACACACACACACACACGCACACACACACACACTGGTGTTAACAGGACTCCTCTGCAGGTGTCTTGTGTGTGTCCTGGCTCGGTGGTAAGAGGAGGGGAAACAAAGCCTCGGGCCAATTAGCAGTTATTATTTTGCCCTGATTCCTCCCAACACACACACACACACACACACACACACACACACACACACACCATCCCCCCGCCCCCACAGGGCCAGCTAGTGTTCTCACACAGCCACACTCATTTGCCAAGATCTCAACCACTAACCCGCCTGTATTTGAGGCAGAGAAGGTGTTGTTGTGTCATTTCCTTTTCACCTCGAGGTAATAACACATTTAACACAATTCTTCATGTTTGATTGCACTGACGCATGCAATTAAGTCTTTCAGTTTTGAGCTAATTTAATTTTAATTTTCACCAGTATTTCCCGTAATGAGGACTCTTTAACACATGTCTAACCTTCTCTACTCTTCATCACTAAAACGAAGGCTTTCTGGGTTCTCAGAGGTCGATCTTTAGCATCCATGTCTGCTGTCATTCTGGAGGTCTAGAGGTGATCTGTTACACTTAAACAAAGCTAAAAAACAAACAAATGTAACAGTTATTATTTTGAATGTACTGGAAAGTGACACTGGAAACTGTCTTCATCGTGTTATTGTCGAGCTGTTTTCACACACATGCACTCTCCACAGCAGCGTGCCCCTGAAGTCTCCCTGAGTGACTTTTGTCCCTGTTTAATGGGATTCGGGGGGGGGGTCTCATGAGGTACGGCATGATGTTAAGAAAAAAAAAACAGATGCTGCAGAAATCCAAGATGGTAGATGAAGCCACAGAGTCTGACACTGTAATGACTGTTTTTTTTGCCTTGATATCTAGTCTAGTTTTTCCTGTCAAAGCGTCTTTGAGTATTTAGAAAAGCGCTATATAAATCTGATTTATTATTATTATTCTACCCATCCTATAAAGGTCATCCGCCCTCACCAGTTTGCTCACACTGAATTCCTCTCACCTTAAATTACCGGCTGCATTCACACATCAGCTCGCCCCGACTTCACGCCTAAACTGAGCCGGGGAGCTGGCAGGAAAAAGTCAGAGTGAAGCATTCAGCGTTCACACATACTGCTCACCTCGGATGATGACATTTTCAGGAGTTTTGTGCTCGTTTGCAAACAGCTTATGTTTGAGAAGTTATTTTGCTTTAGACCTCCAGCAGGGCGGAGTGCATGGACTTCTTCATTAAACTCACTGAGGTTTTGTCCTTTAGTAAAAGAGATGACATGACTTTATATATGTGTGTGTTGTATGTTGTCGTCTCGTCCAGCCCCCACCCCGTGAAGCCCCTGACCACTGCCATGCTGGCTGAGGAGAAGCGGACTGAGGGCCGGTCAGTGCTGGCCACCGGCCTGGAGAAGCTCAAGTCCACCATCCACCCGGGGAGGAGCAGCAGCCAGATCAGTGAGCCGGAGCCGGAGAGGAAGAAGGTACAGTTTGTTTTTCAGCAACAACACTTCCCCTGCAGAGGCAAAACACAGAAACTATGTGCAACTATCCAGCAGATGTCGCCCTTGAGCACCAGCATGAAACCAAAACAACTGGCGCTGCATTGTTGTGTTAGCATGCTAATGCTAGCGATCTTTATTATGCTGGTATCTTCACACTGCATGTAAATTTACCTGAAATGAGCGTGATCTAGAAACACAGTTAAGCAGTGAGTACAGTATGTTATTCTTCTTTTCTCTAGTCCCTCAATTAAACAACTTTTATACACGAGGGGAGGAGTCAGCCGGCCGTCTGGGCGATGTAAACAAAGTGAAGATAGGACTCTGAAAACTCGGGGTGTTACACCCATTGTAGACAGTCATGACTCACAGAGTTATCTTCAGAGGATATTCTTGATTTCTACATTTAAGTGTGAAAAGCCTTTGAATTTCTTTGTAAATCTGTTTTCATTCTGGCACTGATGAACATTTCTCACACATGCAGCTCGCAGCGGGACACTATCGGGGGGGGGGGTGTTCTCGAGGGGAGAGACTTGACGTAAGAAGAACAATGTGGAAGTGATGAACAAAGCAACAAAGCTGTGATGACATCAGGGACACATGTTGTTAATCATAGTGTCAATAACAGCGAAGAGGAACAGAAAACAAAATAAAGCAGTTTTATTACGAGCACTGGGATCGTCATCTCGTGCATAAAGTCTTACAGTCGTGCGGTCTCAGGATATAAACGTCATCATCCCCTCCGACTCCCTCGTGGTGGATTCTCCTGAATATTTCCTGCTGCGTTCTCATATCAGCGGGAACATTAACTAGGGAGCTGGAAGGAAACGTTCCAGGTAAAATGGTTTGTTTGTGCTCACACATTCAAGACTTCAGGAAGATGTCAGGAGTTTAATGCAAGTGGAAAATAACATTTTTCACAAGGATTGTAAAGCAGAAAACAGCAAACTATAAAAATTCAGTTAAAAATAAAGGTCAGAAAAGTATGCAAACACCTTGAAAGACAAACGGAAAACTATTCAAAGCTACATCTCTGAAATCATGCAGAGTTAATATTTGCACAATTAACTTACATAATCGAACACAAAATACCAACTGAGGTAGTGGGAGGCAAGCAATGCATGTTCTCTGTGAGGAAATAAAAGCTGTTTTTGTCAATGGAGTCTGGAAGTGTGAAGAGAGAGAGAGAGCTTAAGGTTGTTTGTGGCTCAATAAAGAAATCTTCTGGTATTGTAAAAAGTTATTTTTCTGAAGGGATCCTCTTACATTACAAAGCCTGTCGGCGCCTTTTCAACAGAGGATTACTTTGTCGTCACAACAGATTATTCTGAGGCTGCTTGATGAAGCTATTTCAAAAAGTTTCAAAACATATCTTACTTTCTGGATTAAAAGAACGTTAGGAAACAAAAAGGAAAAAAAAGATGCAGAATAGAATAGAATAGATGTTTATTGGCATTTGCACAGGTACAGGACAGTACAGGTACATTGGAATTTTTGTGCGTTTCTCCCTGAGTCAGCTTCTACAAAAAAGTTAAAATTATAAATATTATTGAAAAAAATTATAAGAAAAAAAGAGTAGTAAAGTACAAATAAAAAAAAAATAAGTTGTTGTTACAGCTAAGTAAATTCAAATAAACTGTACAGAAGCTATACACTGTATGAAAGCAAATAATATAATACAAAAAAAACACTATACAATGAAATGAAAATATAAATAGAAGGATGCAAAGCAACTCTAGCTCGCTGCCGCCTGTGACGGCGTTTCAACCTGAACTGATTTTGTCATTTTGACCCAGAACTATAAAGATTCAGAAGCAATGTTTAAATCTTGAATTTGTCTTCTCTCTGTGTCCAGTCTCTGACAGAAGGCGCCGGCTCGTATTACCACCTGACCCACAGCGAACTGGTCGCCCTGCTGTTGCAGCGGGAGGCGGAGCTGGAGAGGCAGAAGGCGGAGTTTGAGCGTCAGAAATTCCTGCTGGCCAAGCGGGAGGTGGAGCTGAAGAAGCTGAAGCCGCAGGTCAAAGATCTGGAGGACTACATAGACACGTTGCTGGTGCGGATCATGGAGCAGAAACCCACGCTCCTGCAAGTGCGCTCCAAGTTAAAGTGAGGAGGAAAGGGGTTTGCAGTTCACTCTAACCTCCACAACAGCTCTTTAGTCTTTTCACTGCTATGCTGTCCTTTTTGATACAAATATCTTAGAGCACTGAGAGATGTCGAGGAGATTGTTTTTTCCAGCCGGCATGCTTTTACTGTGCTGAGACGCGTCCTCGTGGAGGGGGTTCGGTACGGGGAGTTTCTGAATGTAGAGGGTCCTCAGGTTGTTTTCAGGTTCACACAGAAAGGTTGGTTTTTAAGTTCACAGAGGAGTGACACCCAGACGCTTCCCGATTGTAAAAAAAAAAAAGAAAAAAAAAAGAGTTTTCACCTCACCTGTCACTTCTATCACCTTATCTCACAAAAAAAGAGAGAAATGGTCGAGTCTCAATCCAGGACAACGTAAACCCCTCTCCAAAGGTTTTGCCGTCCGTCTGTCAGGAAGGGAGGAGTCACAGCGTCGCCTGTTTTATCTCATTAACCACAGATTCCATATTCTTTAAGTCAATGTTTGCAGTTTCTGCAGCGTTAGATTGATTAGATACCTTCCTTCCGGGCAGCCTTTGGTTTCAGTTCATTGCACAGCAGAATGAAAATCAACTTGCAGATACTTGAATCGTGCTCTGAACAAGCTTCTGTCACAGTGAACATGTTCAAGCCTTTGTTTCGTTTTTCACAGCAGCGTTCTGAAGGGAAAACACCTTATTGTTCAAAGACGTTAGATTCAGTTTAGAGAAAGAAATTCATGTATGAGCTCGATGACAGTCCTTTAAATTCATTAATTGTCATTTCATTTGAGAGATGTTTTTTTATTTAATGGACTTACCTTTTGGCTTAAAATTCAGAATGTCAGGGCGACGATGGGATGACGGTTGGTGTGCGCCCAATATATGAGGCTGTGGTCCTCCAAGCGGGCGGCCCGGGTTCAGATCTGACCTGCGGCCCCTTTCCCTCTCTCTCTCTCTCTCTCTCACTCTGATTTCCGACTCGGTCTACTCTCCGGTCTCTGCAATAAAGGCACTAAAAAAATCAGAAAAATTTTAATAATAATTCAGAAAGTCTCGACAACTGCAAGATAACGAGAAGCGGCCAATCCTCAAACTCTGGATGTCTGTGTCGTAGTTTAAACAATAAGCCGACCAACAAAACTGACGACTCGTTCATAAACAGTCTCCAAATCCATCGTACAAAACCAGTCAGACATTAGTGAACTGTACCGGATGTTTTTGAAGCAGACGATCAGGTTTCAGATTTGAGAAGCATCAAAGTTATCAGGACAGTCCCTTCTCCAAACTGCTGTATTACACAACACGTTAACACCGACTGCATCTTAAAGTAAACACATTCTGTTCACTGCAGCGGATCTCAAGCATGCTTCAAGTTTCTGCAAGTGTTTCTTCACGGTTCAGGGAGCGGGTCGACATTTTTTGAAAGCACCTTTGTTTGTTTTTGATGTGCAGATATTCAATCAGATGAAAGATAACGTTCTCATGTCAGTAATATAAACACTGAGGTGAAGCCAGGAAGCATTTAGCTTAGCTTCAGACAGGAAGTTGGAGGAAACGAGGAGCCGTGCTAACTGCAAAGCTCTGAAGATAAAACACCAATCATTTGACCTTAAAAATGAAAACGATTACAGAGACCAGGTTTGGCTTTAACAGCGGCAAGGTGCAGTTAAGGCAACCTCATGGTGACCACGACTGACTGTATATAAAAAAGGACGTCGCGCCTCCACCTCCTCCTGGTGCACAAAAGTGAAGCCAAATAATAAAAAACCCTGTGACATTCGCTGACATATTGTGCTGGTGATGTGATTTGGAGCGCCTTCCTCTAACCGAAAACACTCGTTTCACTTACAGATAAAACTTCAAATCTCCCTCAGGTTGTTTCAGTCCTCGAGTCGGTTTGAATCAAACACGATTATGGAACTTCAACAACACTTGTCAAGGTTTCTTTATTCGTCTCCCTAAGGAGAAATTTTGTCTTGGCTACTAGGAAATTGCTGCATGGACAATACATCAAAACAATATAAAAACAGTAATTACAAATGTGCAAAAACATTAGCTTGTCCCTGCTACAGCTTGTGTTAGCATTCGTTAAGTTAAATGCTAAACTGGTGCAAACAGTGTTGTAGTCGCCTCATTGCTCAACAGAGCTGTCAATCATAACCACATTCTTCTTATTTAGCATCAAATAACTAATTTAAATAAACTTCTAGGGAGAAACTTTAACAACAAAAACAATGTGTGAGAAACAGTTATTTAGTGTGTATTTGATTTTTATAGATTCACCTATTGTCCTATTGGTTAACGCAGAGGAGGCGGGGCTAATGACCTTTACTGTAGCCGGCCAGCAGGGGGAGCGCTAAATGTTTTGGCTTCACTTGAGGCGAGGTGTTTCGCTGTCCATTCTTCATACAGTCTAAGCTAAACAAATCACCTCCTTTACTTTAGAGATTTTGAAGTGTAATCGATCTTCTTGTCTGACTTCAGTAAATGTAACAAAATGAAAACCTGTTTATTATCTCGAGTTGACTGAAACAAAAAAGAAAACCAGTACAGACTCTAACGTCTCCATCTGGCACCAGTTCGTCCCGTCTGTGTTTACGTTGTTCTGGAGTGACTCTCTACAAACGTTCCCGGGTGAATATCGAGCGCTCTGACTAGTTATCGAAACCACAAAACCAAACGACGGCGTGCGAGCTCGGCCTCGCCGCGTGCGCGTCGCCGGGATCTGACTGTAGCTTCTGAATGTTCAAAAGTGTTCTTAGCCAGCGAGTGAATGGTTTGATTTTCTACGAGCGATGACGACTGCTGCTGTTTATCTTTTTGCTTGTTCCTCTTCTTCTTCTCTTTTTTTTTCTGTTCTATGAGCATGTCTTGAAATTACCCATGATGCTCAGCGTAATAAGCTAACTGATACTTGTGTGGGTCGCGGTGTTATCGGGCGAAGACAGTTATCACGCAGCGCGTCACAACTTCTCTGATCTCATGCTTCTGCCTTCCCGTGTTGTCAACACGACTCGACTTGATTCCCTTTCCTTCTCCCTCGCCTTCTCCCTTTCCTTCTCCCTCGCCCTTTCCTTCTCCCTCGCCTTCTCCCTCGCCCTTTCCTTCTCCCTCGCCTTCTCCCTCGCCCTTTCCTTCTCCCTCGCCCTCGCCTTCTCCTTCTCCCTTGCCTTCTCAATCAGCCTCACCTTCTCACTCACCTTCTCCCTCGCCCTCGCCTTCTCCCTCGCCTTCTCCCTCGCCTTCTCCCTCGCCCTCGCCTTCTCCCTCGCCCTCTCCCTCGCCTTCTTCCTCGTCTTCGCCTTCTCCCTCGCTGTCCGTGTGTCACGTCCACTCCCGCTCGAGCACGCCGCATCACCTCTGCTTCCAGGTGTTACAAAGGGATATACGCCGTATTGAAATGCCAAACGCTGCCTTATTTTTTTGCTTTGTTTTAAAATAAATCTAGCACTTACTTTAACGTGTCGCGGCTCGGGGGGGCGGGGCTTAGAGAAAGAAAAAGCCATCTGTTCACCTCTTCCTACATATTCTGTTGAAATCACTGCACAAGAATAAAACCTGTATGCACATCGATGATCGAGAAAACGAGCAGCCTTGAGACTCTGAGTCGACGGAGCAGATCGACACACCATGAAGTATTCTGATATGAAGCCACTTTTTAATTCCTGGATGTTCTTGCACTTCCTGATCGTCAGAACGTAGCCCTGCTGTACCCGTCTGTCCGTAGCGGTATAGTTAGATCTACTTTACACCATACTGCACTTTATAACCGCTCTGTGATTTAAGCACTCGGCCGTCTCTGACATCACCACAGTGAGCTCGAAGCATACAAAAAATAAAAAACATCCCAAAACAATCGAGTCGTCTCAGTTCTGCTGTTGAGACATATTTACATGTGACTCTTCTTCCATGTCTTCCATTTCGACCCTTTTCTTTCTGTCTTTCTTTTTTTAATTTAAGTATAAACCGATTGTATTTTGTCCTCGATTGTGTAGCGGGTGGAATGTGCTTAAGGTAGTGTGTTAAGATTGGAAAGTTTACAATCCGTGATGCAATTCTGTTTCACAAATTTTGTATATTTAATAAAGAATATTTTGTGTTTCTTGCTCACCGTATGTTTGGCTGTAAATCTTTCTTCAGTGTGTGTTTTGTTGTTGTTGTTGTTGTTTTTCTTCTTCGGCTCAATTTTACATCATGTTCAAAAGTTTCTACAAACCGTGGATTTTTGTTGAGGAATAAATCAACAACCTCGTGATGAATCATTTTAAGGTTTCACCCGAAAGGCTGCACAATAAATCGCAATAAATAAAACGATAGTATTTAAAGGAGCAGTATGTAACTCTGACACCTAGTGGTTAAAATGAACTGCAGTCTAAATTCTAAACCTCATAGAGAGCTGTTTGTTATACGAGATATAACAAAATGAAATACGCATACGTGCCCGATAGCAACAAAGAAAAAGACAATGCAGAGAAAACTTTAAATGTACGGCTCAGGAGAAAATGAGTTTTTGAAACGTCTCTGCAGAGCTAAAATGTTTGTTTTTAAGGATAATTACATATTGTTGTTGTGTTTTGTTTTTTATTTGTTCTAACTTGTGAGCTATGGGACACTCCTGAATTTCCCCCAGAGGATGAATAAAGTAATCATCTATCTACCATAACAGAATAAGAAGCAGCTTTGCATCCAGAGGTTTTGTTAAGCTGAGGTCATATTTTTGAAATTTCTGATTCATCTTATCAGTTAAATACTTTCTTCACACCGCTACTAATAAACATTTTCTAATAAAACATCTGCAGCACAGAATCCTCTAACATACATACCTCATGTGCATGTGAGTCCCGAGTGAAATCATGGTTCCTATATAATCTAATTACATGAGCCTGTATGTGAATGTGTCACACATTGAACGTCCCTCGTGGAATATCTGAGGATCTGTCAATATGTGATATTTACACTTGCTAAAGTGTGATACACTTGTAATTAACGGGAAAAATGCTTCACATGATGGATTATAGGGCTTTTTTTAAATAATCGTACAATACTGGAATCTTTCTTTAACTTCTCAACATGTTTACTCGTCAAGTCAATCTGTAGCCCACAAATCCTCAGAACAAACCTCAGACATGAACTAAGGAAAGGTCTGTGATTGTTTAAATGCCATAATCTGCTCTTCAGATGTTGATTTAACTTTTCGTCAGAGGAGAATGTGATTTAGTCCAACCCCTGCACATTTGTATTACCACACAGTACCAAAATCCACCACTAGGGGGCTATGTTACACTCTTTAAACTCCACTCCTACCTTCTTTCCTTCATTCACCAAAAACTTCAACAGTCAAAAAAAAAAGTCAAATTCTTTAAATCATCTGTTGCTGCACTGAAATCTCATGCAATACATGTTCTCTCCTCTCCTGCCTGAAAGTGAAAACAAAACAAAGTTATTCTGGGAAGTGTAGTGTGTCCGCCTTAGGGCTCATTCACAACTTGAACCCGGAAGAACTACATTACCCATTACACAATGCAACCGTGCAGCTGAAGAACCCTGCAGCCTCACTTCATACAGTGTTTGTATAAAAAGTTGTTTTTACCTCGTAGAGAGAGGAGAGGAGTTGGTGTACTTGTGTGTATGTTTGCAGCAGCATGTCTGAATATCCGACATTCCAGCATGGCAAGTCTCGTTTCGACCAGGTGAGTTTATTTTTCACGTTGCTGAAATCTGAAATCTGAAATCTGAAATCTGAAATCTTCATGTGACTTCAAGCACCAGGCAGCTGTTGATATTTGGCCCATATAGACATATCTGTTTTAATATAAACCATATGAGACCGCCTGCTTTAATATCTTCTCTAACAGCCCGAGTTGAGTTTATTCATCTCGATGAAGCTTTCATTGCTCCTTCTTGTAAAACTCTACACTCAAAGTGTAGGCATGTTCAAATCCACATTTAAAGTGTCCAACATGCAGGTGTTCTGTCACAAACAACGTCATATAGTTATTAAATATTATTTAAAAATGTAAGTATCGTAGTTGTGTCTGAGAGCATGTTGCAATAATAATGCTGAAAGTAAAGTTATAATCATCTTTATGGGTCAAGCTCAGACTGGAAAGTCTCACCTATTCGGACTTTCGAACCTACGCTTATGCTGCCTTCAGGTGCCCTTGGAAATATTTGACTTCCCATTTGTGAGCGTTGTTATCAATGATAATATACTCGACTGTTATGTTTTATAGTTAAAGGTTTGCTTGTTACTACAGCTAATTGATGCATTTATTCAAATATACAACTACTAAAAATAAATCATAGCTGCTATGAACAAAAAAAAATGTGTAAACCGTTTTACCGTTAATCGTTGATGCTGTTTCCAATCTTTCTGCCATTTTTGATGCCCTGAAATGACAAACAAACGTCACAATTTGGGTATAATCCTAATTATCCTAATTCTCTACTTCTGTTCATGGCCGATCATGTGCTCATCACTCGTATTTACAGCAAATCCGATAATTCCAACGGATACGTGAAGGCATCGTAGTTTTACGTAACTCGATCAGGCTTTACGCAAACGTACGCAAACGTACGTAAGATTTAAATCTCCAACGGTCAACTTCGCGTCTGCGCCAACTGCTCAAACATTTCTCCCCTGGAGGGAAATTCACCTGATTTCATGGGTTCAACATTAAAATAATAAATAAAAGGTGACGTTGTAGAAGACATCAACAGGTGAGCTCTTCTAAACATAAACATAAACATTAAGTTAGTTAAACATCTAAATGACGGATTACTCTGACGATCTGTTTGTTAGCTAGCATGTTACCGTAACTGTTAGCTAACTGTGAAGAGTCAAGATCCACCTTTATAATCTTTTTTAGAAAAATAAGAACTTTTCCACTGATTTTTGTTGACTTAAAATAGTTAAAATGACATTTTTTTAACAAGTAATAGCTCAACCTAGTTTAACCCACTTCCGTCAACAAACCGACTCTCCCGCGGTGTTCCACTTCCGGGTCTGGGTCAGGTGTCAGATTCACTCAGACTTTCTTTATTATCATTCAAACTTGTACTTTACAGAGCAGATAAGAACCAAATTGTTAGTGCAGGATACAAACAGCAGCAAGTATTCACACAGATAAATAAGGTGCAGATATAAACAGACAAGCTGAGAGTAAAATGACTACAGATAAATATATTGCACGTTTGTGATGTTTGTTATATTGTATTTTACAGTCCAGTGAGTCCTGTGTGGGGGTTTGAGGGGGGAATGGAGGGATTAGTCTGTGGGAAGAAGCTGTTACAGAACCTGGATGTTCAGCAGTGAAAACAGTGCTTGGTGGGGGTGGGAGGGGGTCTCTGCTGATTCTCTGAGTCCTGGTCAGCGATCTCCTGGATGTTCAGCAGTGAAAACAGTCCTTGGTGGGGGTGGGAGGGGGTCTCTGCTGATTCTCTGAGTCCTGGTCAGCGATCTCCTGGATGTTCAGCAGTGATAACAGTCCTTGGTGGGGGTGGGAGGGGGTCTCTGCTGATTCTGAGTCCTGGTCAGCGATCTCCTGGATGTTCAGCAGTGAAAACAGTCCTTGGTGGGGGTGGGAGGGGGTCTCTGCTGATTCTGAGTCCTGGTCAGCGATCTCCTGGATGTTCAGCAGTGAAAACAGTCCTTGGTGGGGGTGGGAGGGGGTCTCTGCTGATTCTCTGAGTCCTGGTCAGCGATCTCCTGGACTGGAGGAAGTGGAGTCTGAATGATCTTCTCTGCAGGGACCAGACAGAGACGCAGTTTGTCAGGATGCTCTCTATAGTGCCTCTGTCAAAGGTGGTGAGAATAGGAGGGGGGAGGTGTCCGAATCCAGTGGATCCCAACCTTTTTTTGGCTCATGACCCCCCTTTGACCTACGACACTCTGGTGACCCCAGAAATCCAAAACACAGACTACAGCTTTCTGCTAAGATTCATTTGTTTTTAACCATGTAACTGTTTTTCTAATGTGTTGCAAACATTCATGTTAGAGCACATTTAGGCTGTTTGTTGTTTATTATTGAGGACAGAGAAAGAATAGAATAGAATAGAATAGAATTACTTTATTGATCCCAAATTGGGAAATTGTGGCGTTACAGCAGCAGGTTGTTCAAACACACAATATGAGCAATAAACAGAATATTAGCAAATTTAAACATAATATAATATTAAATACAAAGTAAATGAGCACTAAAAAGAGCACTAATATATACAACCAGGATTTAACTAAACATTATTAGTCTTGAATATGAAAGATTACATTTAAATGTGCAAAAACAGAGCAGTAAATGGACAGTATTGACATAAGTTAAAGTGCATGAGTGTAGACATATTATCAGCAGAAACTATACAATATAACTGTGAGTAGACAGACAAATGAAGTGAACATGAGTGCAGGGATCATTTGTGAATGTAACATGTGCAGAACAGATTACAGTGAGGAGAGACAGATATGATCATGATGACAGTTCTCTTGTGTGACCAGTCATTAACAAAAAAGGTATCAATGCCAGGATAATTCAGAATCTAGTCACTTAATGCAACAGTTTAGAGGAGAATCTATTATTATAACACCAGTTAAGTCAAGTGCTCTCTGTTGTCATTCAACCATATACAAATACACAGATGACTTTTAGTAGTTAAAAGCTCTTTTTAGCCTTTAAATATCAGATAAATCATTTTTTCTTATTACCTCTGGACTGAATTGAACAGATTAAGAAAACAAGTTTGTTATGAAGTGTTTTACAATCTGTCCATATGTTCAGGAAGTCACAAGGCCTCCGGTGCAGCATTCAGTCAGGTTCCAGATTTTCATCCAAATTAGCAGTTGGATTAATTAAAGTGAAGTTGGGGGAGGGCGTGGTGCCACTCGGAGCTGCACGGTGCGCTGCTGTATCTTACCAAATGATCCCTTATGCTCAGCTATGAATAAATGACTGAAAGGTATTTTTGGCTCAGTCATTAATGGAGAGTAATTGCAAAGCGGTGTAAGATGCAGATAGGAAACAGTTTGTCGGCCTTATTAATGAGGAGGCACAGCCTGGTGTGTTACAGCAGCTGGCACGCTGTGATGTCACTGTGTACATACTGACAGCTGGATTCCTTCTGCTCAAAAAAACAACCCAGAGTCCAATTTGAGTCAAAGTTATGTTTTTAACTCTTATTTCACACGGAAGGTACGACGTTAAACACTTCTGGATATTTAGTTTGAAAATATGAAACTTAAAAGAGCACACGTTGTCTTCATATTGATAATGGATGCTCTTAAATTTGAAACCAAATACAAAATGTTTAATTGATTTTTTGTCTTTTTAAAGTGATTTTTGTGTGATGTGTTTTCTTCTCGTCTTAGAGCACATTCTCTGGACGGTTCAGGCACTTCCTGGATGTGATCGACCCCAGCACGCTCTTCGTGTCAGAGGTAAACAAACGTTATCTTTATTACATCGACCTGGTTCTGTTTTGTAAGGGGAGGGGCTAGATTTGCTCTCTCACTCTCACTTGGAACTCGATAGATCTCTGCACTTTGGTCTCATGGTGATCTTCTGTTCAGCATTTTTTTTACATGTAGAGATTTGCAAGAAGAGCCCCAGTCTATGCTCCATCTTTAGGCACATCATTTTATAATATATTCTCAACATAGTCCTGCAAAGTAACTCCTGATATTTTCAGGAGCAGCCTTAGTGTGAATTATGTAAATGTTTTCAGGCGTGAATATGTGAAACCAGTGTTACAGTGAGTCAGGGGACAAATGCCGACCTCAGAGAGATGATGATGAGCCGTATGAGAGTTGCACTGATGTCAGGGCTGCATGATAAATCGCAGTTTAATTGTTATCGCAGTTTTAGCTTCTGCAAAAAACACCTCGCATCGTCAGACTAAGGGCCCGGCAGGCAGCGGACGACCTCCGTTTCAGAGAGCTTCACCAGAAATCCTGAATCCAAATAAATAAATATTGCTATGTTTCTTCTTCAACTAATTCATTAACATACTTTAAGATTTTCCGTTTCTGGGAACTCATTCAGTAAGTTTTTTGGGTTTACAGGCCGTTGTCTGAGCTGCTCCGACGTCCCCGTGTCTCCTCAGCTCTGAGTCGTGTGTTGTGGTAATTTTTGTTCATGGAGTCATCAGAGCTCGGGTGCTCTGGGTAATGAAGCTGTTAGCGGGCTCTTTGGAGACAGTAATAGCGGCAGTAGCTCCTGGGATGTGATGAGGTGTGGACATGTGGGGCAGCTGGGAGGGGTGGAGCACACACACACACACACACACACACACACACACACACACACACACACACACACACACACACACACACACTCACCTTGCGTCCTGCTGGGCCGGGCATAGCCTCAACTTGCCCCCTAATGACGATGGTGGAACAGGGACAGTTTTTGCATACGATCGCATGCACACACACACACACACACACCTAACACTTCCACACACACACACATTTACACGTAGATGGCAAGCTCATTAGGACAAATTGGGCCACATGACCCGGTATTTTGCTCAGCATTAGACAATAATCACACCACAGAAAGCTGCTCATTACCTTTTAGGAAACTCATTTGTCAACTGAAAATCAGCATGAAAGTTTTCATGGAACACAATTATCGCTCATCGAGCTGTGCAGAGCGGAGGAGGAAAAAACAAGAAGACCGTCCTCACTTTACTGTATGTTCTACTAAACTGTAACATATATTCATGTTATAAATAATCACTTTTATTGATTTGAGCCCCCCCTTAGGGTCTTCTTTGTCGACATTAGAAATGTTCAGTGAAATGTGAAAATGGCTCGACAATTACAGGAGGACTGCCCCTCAAATCCTTTTGAGCCGGCTTGAATCTGGACTGATTTTTTTTTTTTTTTAATCATAAGAGTTAAAGCTTAGGGTTAGGGTTAGTAATTTACTATCGGGATATTGTTAGCAACAAGTCAGAATAATTACGAACATGAAAGTTTCACGTCCTTTGATGCAACACTGTGATGACTATTGTTCTATTTTTGTCCAATCAGAAACGATTGCAGGAATGTGTGAAGCTGCTCGACCAATTCAAACAAGGAGCTCTGCCTCCAGGAGTCACAGATGCTCAGGTAACCGCACAAAAACTGGATTTGCAAAATGGTTTACTTTTTGCACTTTCGTGGGGGGGGGGGAGCAGCCTGACAATCCCCCTGTTAGTTGATGTTAGTGGCCTTGTTTTCATCTGTCTTCTGGTTCTTTGAATGATGTCGTCTGTCTTTAATTGATTCTGTAAATGACTTGATGTCTTTGTAAACAATGTTTGCCCCTCCGGGATCTCTGGAGTATAAATAAATGTTGACTTGTCAGAAGGTGAAGTGCTTTCTCAATGAGCTCACTGAAGTTGATGTGTTTTCTCTCGACAGCTTTGGCAAGCTCAAAAAATCCAGCAGGTAAGATGTTGACTCTTTCACACACGCATATCATTCACTAATGTTATCTTTTATCATAAACATGTTGTGGTTTGGGTCAGTGGACTGGCACACCAACACCTAGAGATTTTTTACAATGTAGCCCAGCTCTGATCTGTTTACGCTGCAAACATCCAGCAGAGTGGCTCAAAGCGGGAGAATGCAACATGAGAAACTATTAAAGACGCAAACACAGTGAAGCACACATTTAATCTGACGCTCATCAGCAGCGAGGGCCAACTTCTAAAGATGTCTGACAGTCAGAGAACTGCAGGTGCAGCTGACTAAAACCTGCTGTATATGTACAGTCACAGGAAATCTACTGTAGTTAGTTCTTAGGATAACTTTGTGTTTGATTCATTCTTTACTATTTAAAAGTAGAGTCAGATTTATACAAAAGTAAATCTGCTTAATCATCACTTCTGGTCATCCATACATGTGTGGTATGGACCCTGTCCTCTCATTTCTGGGCGACCGGGGAGTGGATGTTTCCCACAGCCAATGTCAGCGTGCATGTGAGTTTGAGTGGATAAAAACTAGCGACTGGACGCCATACAGACCAGAGCAGCGACTATGAAAGACGTGAACGTAGCAGAAAATAAGAGAAAATCTTATCTGAGTGAAGCGAAGCGGAAAGCTTGTTCCAAAAAGAGGGTGAACCTTGGGGCGACTCTTAATACAAACCCAGCGTACTCTGTTCACATTTAGATGACTTCCATGGATGATCTAGGATGTTTTTTTTTTTGACCACATATGAGATCAGGTTTTAAAGTCTTTAAAAAGATTAGGTTTCAAAATTGAAGGTGATATGATTTCTTAAAGTCGTGTTTGTACTTGTTAGAGGTTTTTACATTTTCGATGCATAAAGAAAAGTCCAAAAACAAAATGAAAGAAGTTTCCAGTAATAATAAAAACTTTATCCCGACATTAAAAACTCTCTGACGAGTCTTCTGAGCTAAATCAACCCAGACCTGTCAGAACTCATTACGGTGTCCTGATCCTCGCTCTCTCATTACAGGCCATCATCCACCCTGACACGGGGGAGAAGATCCTCATGCCCTTTCGGATGTCAGGTACAGTAGCTTGGTGTGGAAGCCTTTTGGGGGGGGGGTCTGGGGGCTTGTTATGTGGTCCAACATGGAGGCGTCGTTCACCCCGTGAACTGTCATGGCTCGACGGGGCTCTTCAGGTTGTCTGGGGAAAGGTCACACTCAGCTGGGCGCTGATTAAAACCTCTCCCCCACAGTGACCAAGTCTTTCTCTCTCTCTCTCTCTCTCTCGGCCTCTGAAGGAGGAAACACAAGTATTTTGGTCAAGTCTTAAAGCACCTTTTTTTGAAGTGACGCAGAGTGAACATATGAGGGAGTAGGGATGCATACAAACGATTAATCTGTGCATGTGCTTCAACTTTTTTTTAAGGAATCTCAAAGCAGAAAAAAAACCCTCTTTGAATAATTCAAGTAACTATGAGCTGAAGATGATAACAGTGAGTCTGTCTTTTAACAGGTTTTATCCCCTTTGGCACACCAGTGGTAAGACTTCTATACATATATTTCACCTATAAAAAAAAAAGGCATGTTTTAATATTTAGCCAAAAATGAAGTCCAAGTGAGTAAAGACATTCATCCACATATAAAGTTAACAACAAACTGAAATAAATGTTTTTACGTCGGCTTAGATTCAGGCTTTCTTTTTGTTCTTTGGTTCTCCTGTCAAACTCTTCTGTTTTGATCTTTGTGCAGGTTATCGGTCTTCTTCTACCCAATCAAACATTGGTGTCAACGGTCTTTTGGCAGGTAAGGACAAAACTTCCTAACCTGCATGCATCGTCCCGGCGATGTAAACAAACTGAAGATAGAACTCTGAAAACATCACAGACAGTGGGAGTCGGGTGTTACACCCATTGTAGACAGTCATGACTCACAGAGTTATTTTCGGAGGAGATACTTGATTTCTACATTTAAGTGTGAAAAATCACATATAAAGACATCGGGAACTATTTTTTTTTAAAAGTCTCATTTTCAATTTTAAACCTGGCTTGATGTTGTGAAATATAGCTGAAGAAACACAAACTCTTTATTGGACAGGACAGCTGAAGAGAGACCTGAAATGTTGGGATGATAGAGAAAGGGGAAGGGTCGAGGTCGGAATTAAAACCCACTGCCACTGCGATGAGGAGTTCAGCCTCCAGCCTGCCACATAACCGCTAGGCCCCTAAGACGCACTTTTAATACCTATCCTATTTATCTAAAAAGAGGGAAGTCTCCTCTGCAACTCTTTTTATATTTTTACTTTTTTATTTCAAGTAATTTCATTTGAATTATTTTTATTTGAACATATTTTCAGATTTAATAATGTCAGTGATTTTTTTTTTCTATTTTAATGTTTTTTTTCTTTCCTCTGTCATGATGCTTTTTGATGTCTTGTTTGAAGCACTTTCAATTGCCTTGTTGTTGAAATGTGCTATAGAAATAAACTTGCCTTGCCTTGCCTGTAACGGTGAAACCAAAACACCAGTATGAAATGCTGGGATATGAGCCGTCATGACCCCAAGTGCAGCAGCCACTATCACCCACTGCACATGACCTGATTGAAAGTTCCTTCCCAATCTTTGTGGATGAGGAAGATTAGTTTAAACCGTTTGCTCCTCTGGGAGACCGAAAACAATCACTTATTGATATCACGGGTCAGGAACTTTGATGTGTTATCGTTTGTCAGATTGTAACTAACCAGCTCATTTTCTTCTGACTCTAGTGGTTAAACCAGAGTCACAACGCCTGTGTTAACTACTCCAACCGCAACGCCTCAAAGGTAAAGTTTCAGCAGCGATCACTCTACATATATTCATTTTGATTAACAGTTTAAGGTGCATGACACTCTGACACACTGTATTCCTGTTTACTTCTCATTAGCCAGCTCCAGTTTCCAAATTTTTCCAGGGATACCTCGGAGCGGTGACCAGCGCTGTCTCCATCGCTGTGAGTTCCCATGATGCTTCTGCTCTGACTGACCAGACGATGAAGACTTAACAGCTTCAGCTCCATCATTTATAATAGTGATGTAGTCAAGACCACACTAACCGGGACCAAGACCTACCCGAGACTAGGGCTGGGTAATATATCAAGTTTTTAAGATATATCGATATATTTTCAAACACGATATAGGGTAAGACAATATCGTTAATATGGATGTAGTTTAAGTTGCATTAAAATAACATTCCAGAGGTGCCCAGTCATCTTTTTCTCATCTCACTGATGATGACTGACTGTCTGCTCCTCCTCTCTCTCTCTTTTATTGTGTTTAAGGAACATTTTTATTTTATAATATTACTTTTTAAATTCACAAACAGGTAGTTTATTTTTCCATGTGTTTTCACTGCTAATAAAATACATATTGATATATATCGAGCATCGACATTCAACTAAACAACATCGAGGTATGAGTTTTGGTCCATATCGCCCAGCCCTACCCGAGACTAGAGACCTCCAAGACCGAGACAAGACCGAGTAAAAATGCTTTCAATTCTGAGACGAGACCGAGACCTTCAAAAAGTGGTCTTGAGACCAAGACCGATTTTGAGTACTACAACACTAATTTAAAGATCACAAGACGAAGATTTTAAGATAGTATTAGACTTTTGTAAGTTTTCTGTAAGTCTTTGAAGATTTGGTTCCCCTAGTAACCATGATATCTAAAATAAAAGGTGAAGAATAATTTGTCACACGTTGATCCCGACATTCCCTCGCAGTTTAACCTCTTCCCTTACCTCAATAACATCAAAGACCTGAATGTCAAAGGAGTAAAACACACGTTCACACACCTGCCTGACACGGCTCTTAGTGTGGACACTGGGCTCAAACCGAGCCAATTACTGGCCCCGCTGGGCGCCCATCCGGCTGCTGCCCCTCAGGCTTGACAACGGCAACAAGCCCCAGAAAGAGAATCACGGGGTGCCTGGAGGGTGGATGACGGGGCGGGGAGGGGGTGGTTCCAGGAGCTCTCCAATTAAACGTCTGCTCTGCTGACGCCCCCCCGCCGGGCCTGGGAGAAGCCGGAGGCTGAAGTGGTGATGGTGTGCTACGGGAGAGCTCATAGCCTTTTTGACCACAGTCACTTTTCTCCTCATGTCACATCAAAGAGCGTCTTTTTATTTTCTGTTTTTGGATCCTTGCAATGACCAAAACCCCTTTAATGAAAATATGCATAAATATCTACACATCCAATGTGTGTATGAATGTTTTTATTTTAACCTGAGTGTGTGTCTGAGTGCCTGAATCACATGTTTTATGGTTTGCAGGTTGGGTTGAACGTGTTAGTCCAGAAAGCCAGCCGCTTCAGCCCAACGACCCGGCTGGTAGTGCAGAGGTTCATCCCCTTCCCCGCAGTGGGTAAGTGAAACCCGTCATGAGAAAGAAACCCTAACTCCTAAACTACAATAAAACATGAAACGTCTTAATAATAGTAATAATAATCTTTATTTATAGAGCACTTTTCAAAAACAAGTTACAAAGTGCTTTACAGGGAAAGTAAATATAAAAACAGGCAGGTCATAGAATAATAAACAAGGCAAGATTAAGAAATAAAAATCACTTTAAAATATAAAATCCTGTTTAAAAGATCTGTAAAATACATACAATTATTTTAAAGGAATTCTAAAAAGTGAAAATAGTAACAATTAAAAATCATCAAAAATCAGGAAAGGCTCGCCGGAAAAGTGTGTCTGAAGAAGGGACTTAAAAGAGATGACTGATTCTGCCGACCTGATCTCCTCTTAATCAGATAATTTCTCTGCTGAAGCATTTAACTGCATCAGCGAGCTGAACGTGGGGCCGAGCTCAGCTGAGTTAAAGGTTTCATCCTGCTGCTCGCCGTCTGTCCGTCGTCCTCGCCGGGCTTTAGAGACGTGTTGAGAGCTTCCGTTTATCTGACATGTGTGGAGCCACAAAGCTGATTTCATGCCACCTTCCCTGCAAACACACAGAAGCACCCAGGGGTATAGACCCGTGTGTCCCAGAATGCCCCTGGCTGCTGGCTCATAATTAAATTGTTTGCGCGCCCCCCCCCCATGCCTCTGTGGTTCTTTCAATTAAATCAACAGGTTTCTACAGCGCAGCCTTTGCCTGGTAATTGGCTGCTTGTTAGAACTCTGCTGCTGCAAACAAATTGGATAATTACCCCCAAAGTGGCGTCTATGTCGAGGCCTCATTTACCTGATTTCTGTTTTGAGCATTGTTGTTGTTACGGCTGTTGTTGTTGTGCTCGGACGATATAAAAAGGTAATTAAAACGGCTAATTGAAGCGAGCGAAAGTAAAGTGCCGTTTGATTTAGTTTGCTCTCTTAAGGCCATGATGTATTTTGTAATAACCCAATCAAGCGTCGGCCTGTCATTCATTTACATCACGGTCGACCTTCACTGCGGATGGAATGTGTTGCGGATAATTAATTTATTGAAAATATTTGTCGTTATTTGTGATATTTAGGAAAGTTAATTATGTGAACACGTCTTGGATTCATTTCCACGAGCGGCCAGCGAGTTATTAGAAGACAATTAGAAATGTAATTATTTCAAATAATTAAATGTACAGCCTCATATTTCACCGTGATTTGAGCCTCGCTGGTTCTTTATTAATAAAGGAAACAGACTAATTAGAAAATGAAATAGATTGCAAACAGCTCGTTTCCTGTGTTTGTCTCGTTCCTTGCCGAAGCCGCTCGCTCCGGCCTTCTCTTAATTGGTTGAGATGTTGTTTTTTTTAATCCCTTGTAGGTAAAAAAGAGCTATTTGCTCCGTCAATTGAATTCCCCCTCCCAAAGCGACCCCGTCAGCCCCCCGCGGCTCCTCGCACAGATAACTCTGAACGCTGTTGTCTTAAATTAAAAAGGCCCGCGGCGCCGTCACTTAGCTCTCTAAAATGACTTTTTCTTATTCCCATTAGAGTCAAGGAGAAAGGTTCGAGGATATTAACATAGATTTGTGTTCATTTTGGCTTTATGAATAAATCCCCAACGTGTCGCCGCTGATCCGACGGCTGCTCGAGTCAAGTCACACACACACACACACACACACACACACACACACACACACACACACACACACACACACACACACACACACACA